ACTTTCAAAGGGCCATAACTCGCTCATACGAACTCGGAATTGAGCAAACTCGGCGGCGTTGGAAAGATCATTCCACAAGCTTCACAACCATAACTGGAACTACTCCTAAATCATCCTGAGCTGGAAGTTATGACTGCTCAAAGTTGGCCAAAAATCACTGATTTCCACACTTAGCCAATTTTTTTCCAGATTTTCAAATCCTTTCCAAAAATGAAAATCTTCAATTTCTAAGCCTCTTCTTAGCTATTTCAAATTGTCGGATGTTACAATATATATATATTGAAATTATTCATTCAAGAAATAAAATACAAATGAATTTTATTTAAAAATTGAAAAAATATATTATAATAATTCTATTAGAAATAGTATTTATTTAGTAGAGACAAACTCCTCCTAATAAACAAGAGGAAGCCATAAATTAGAAGACAATAAAACGTAACAACATGTCAATTACTACATCACTTGCATTGCCCTGGATCATAAAGGCTAATATAAATAAGCTAAAAACCAATTAACAACTTTTTCACACAAAGATCGCCCTTTTTTCTTCTAATTCTCCTTACGATATTAAATCCTTACTACTTTGAGCTGCAACAACACGAACTGCACAGTATTTACAACAATAAACATAGCTTGCTAAAACGTCAAGATTATACAACTATTATACTTAAAGGGGAACATGTATAAAGAAGAAAAAAAACAGAAAATTGACATGACAGAGCAACACTATAATTGTAAGTCACGGATTTTATAACTGAGTAACTAAGATCAGAACGTCATCAATTTTCTTCATGTTTATAGATTTTTAACTTTTGCATTGCATCATTCGCAAATATTTGTTTATGAGAGGGTTTAACTTAAGTTGCTCGGACTCCTTCACTTTAAATGTCGCACTCATGTCAACACGATGGGGTGTGGGTCAGTGGATGTGAGATTCGTACCCAATCTGGTCAACCAGTTTTGGGTATTTTGACCAAATTTGAGGGGGAAATTCTAAACAAAAAACTAATGTGAAATTGAAGAAAATTGAGTACCTTGTATGTTTAAATTTCTATTATCACTCCGTTTCCTTTTATCTCCTTTCAGAATTCTCCTCTTGACAAAATATTTTATCCTCAAGTTTTCTGTATATGAATTATTTTTAGCTCAATCCCACCCCCTTCCATACATGGATCTATATCCACGAGTCTTAAAGAGTAGATCATAGAGGATCCGACCCGACCTCTAGATCCGCACCCCGTATCGGACATCTGCACCTGAGTTCGAGCAACATAAGATCTAAGTATGGAGTGAAAGATCTCATGACAACCTCTTATGCGAATACGTTCTGGATTGGGATCTCATAACAAGGTAGTAATAGTCATGGGTGCAACAGGAACGGGAAAATCTAAAACTTCCCATAGATCTAGATGGATGTGTTTGTCAATTATTCACAACCTCTGAATCGGCTAGATCTATGGAAAGGCTAGATCAATCCGTCCTGTTGGACCCATAACAATCACCGCCTTATCTTTTTATGAAAGGAACCATATAAAGTTAGATCTCTAAGAAACTAACAATTAAGAGTAATATTATTTGTGAGAAAATAATGATTCAATGTTTATTGTGTAAAAAGGTTACCAAATTTGTTTCATTCCTTTTCTGTAGAAACAATGTTGTTTATGATGTATGTATCTCTCTATATATATTGTAACTTTTGCTTGTAATCGGTCAATACACGCCTTTTTGAACACGTGGCAGATTTTGATATGCTTTTATTTTGACTCGGAGCTGCCACATTATTTAAACACATGGCATCACCATGTTGGCCTTGAATTTGATTGAAAAGTCATAACAAACAAACTAAAGCACAAGAAGTGCTACAAAAAATAGTACTATTTAAGCAAAACCATGGCACTTCCATGACTTCTTGGGGTTCACAGCAATCTTCCAACTCGACTTATTCAAATATGAATTCAACATTTGGTGATGCTCTGCGGGATTCTTTCATCTCGTCCATCATTTGTTTATCCGAACGATGAAGGAGATACACAAAATTCCAAATGAAAATCTCCTTAAGTACAAGTGCAGAGGCCAAAATGAACTTCATAAATTCCATTTCCATCTCAAGACCCATAAACAAGTTCACATGAACTCTTTGAAGCTTCTCAGCACCTAATGAGAATGATTGGAATCTTAGAAATTCTACAACAGGTTCAACAATATCCTCCACGGCCACAGGGTCCTAAAAGAATTTCCAAGGAACAGTTAATTAGGCGAGTTCAGATGAAGAAGAAACCTTATTAATGAAAAAAACAAGAGAGTGCTTACAAATTCAATTGTAAGATCTTGTAATTTAGGACAACTTCTAATCAAGTAAACTGCACTTGAAACCACCTCGACGCTTCTTAAAGACATGGACGAAATATTGAGAGATTTGATATTGTTCAGAGCTGTTGGGGGACTCTCTGGTAAACATCCCTTGATCAAGTACTAGAAGAAAGTCAAAAATTACTTTAAGGCACCAATCAAATTCATCATTTAGTTATGATAGTAATATCACAAATGTACATTAGCTCTAATGTTGAACCCCATAGATTTAGTTCCAGCAGTGAAGGCATGTAATGGAAGAACTTGTAAGACTGGACCTAACAGGAGATATATTAGTCAAAAGTTGAAAGTGACCGAAGCGGAGTCAATTCATATTAAAACAAGAGGAGAGGTCGTCCAAGGAAAGCCAAAATAACTTTTTCAAGCATAGGAGCGTTCTTGAAGGAAATGGATTTTATATTTCCAACAAACTCAAAGAATTTGAGATTAGCGGTATCAATTTCAAGGATGTCAAAGTTTGTGCAGAAACGCAACCTCAATCGTTCAAGCAACGGGCTTTTAGAGATGAGATTTGTAAATATTGATGGATCAAAAGTGACACGCACAAGATCGAGATTAATAAGCTTCTCAAACCCTTTGAAACCGAGTGGAGGGTGGAACAAGCAATCTTGAAGTTCCAAAAACCGAGTTGAGCCTTCTTCATCTTATTTGAAAGACTTGAAAAACACATCATTAAAATCAGGTTCTTGACGTGTTACCCATTTGTACCTCCAATCTATTGACAAGATACTGCTCTTCACTACATCTTCAAAAGACAAGCGCCCAAGAATAACATCCAAAACATTACAAGGCAAATTGCTAAATGTATCTACACCAAATGTCTGAGCATTCCTCATGGTCTAACAGAACAAGTTTGCCAGCAACTCTGAAAATTAAAATCAGGAATAAAGGCAATATCCAAATACATTTCAGTAATGTATTGAAAATAACTGGTGGTTCACCGTCTGCAACTGCATAATTTTTTATCATTTAACAATATCATAGAGAATGATACATGATTGAGCACAGAAAAGAACATAGATTGAAGACAATAGTGGTGAAGGCAAAATTTTCATCGTGGGATTCAAAAAATTTCATGTTGTTTGAAAGATTTGAAAAACTCATCATTAAAATCAAGTTCTTGACGTGTTATCCATCTGTACCTCCAGTTTTTTGACAAGATACTGGTCTTCACTGCATCTTTCCAAGGCAAGCACCCTAGAATTCCATCGAGAACATTACAAAGAAAATTTCTGATTGTATCTAAACTAGATGCCCAAACATTCCTCATGGTCTAATAAAACAAGTCTGTTAGCAACTCTGAAAATTAAAATGATACAAGGCAATATCCAAATACAATTCAGCAATGTATTGTAAATAGCTAGTGTTCAATGTCTGCAACTGCATAAATTTTTATCATTTACCAGAAAATAATGATACATGATCGAGCACCAGGAAAGAAGATATATTTGAAGACAATAGAGGTGAAGGCATGATTTTCATCGAGGGATTCAAAAAAATGTTCTCTTGTGTGCAGGGGATTAAACCCCTCAGTAAACGTGAGAGATTTTGGGTTGAGAATATATTATTCTGAATATAAATAAGCTATTATATTCTAGTGTTTTGATGATCCTCACAAATGCAGGGACCCGGTCCTTGGCAGAGTACTTCAGTCCAGATTCAAAGTGGTGCACAATTGTAAAGTTATCTTTACAGTTGTCTTGTCAGGTTGGTTGGTGAGATGTGCAGCGTACTTCACTAATAGGAAGGGAGGACAAAGTTGTTTGTTTAAGTGGTCAAAACCCTTGTTGGTAACTGATATATACAACAATAAACAAACAATAGTATTCATTCAAAAAGAAAGAGAGCTAGCAAGTGTTTTTCAACAACTCAAGCATCAAAGAACGCAGCAAGGGATCTGGTCTCGAAAAGTCTGCGTATGAGAAAAGGATGAAAACGCAGCTGTCAAAAGGCTGCCAACTCTGATGTAGTTGGTGCATAGCCTTTGAGAACAACAGGCTCCCAGCCAATGGCCTTGTCCCAAGGATTTATGTCCATCTTGATAATAGTCTCTTCTCCAAACACAAACCCAAGATTTGGCAAACAAAAATTTGGATTTTCTATGAAAATTCATAAGCTTGAAAAGAAGGCCATCTTCAAGGAAGAACACTGCTCAACTCAACAAAGGGACATGATAGAGTGCTAAAGAGTCTTTGTTGTATTTTGAGCTTTGTTTCTTATGTGCTTACATTGTAAATCCATTCATGTGTTATAAAGGAATTACATCTTTGTTTTGTTCATCTGAAAGTCTAAGTCGGTTAAGGTTAATTGATTTAGTGGACAGTGTTGTATCTGCTTAGTCAAATTCTAAGTCATCTAGGAGCTAGCTAATTTAGTGGGCAGTGTTGTATCTGCTTAGTTAAAGTCTAAGTTATCTAGGGTGGGATGACTTAGTGGGTAGTGTGGTATCTGCTTAGGCTTAGTGAGTAATAGGCGTATTACTTAGTGTTGAGATTAAGTGTTTAATCTCTTGGTGGTTGTAATCTGTTTTTCACTTTTGCTTGAGAATATTAGTGAAAATAGTTGAAAATCCTGTGCGATAGGTCGTGGTTTTACTCCCTTGAGCAAGGAGGTTTCCACGTAAAATCACTGTGCCCAATTTACATTGTGCCATTTATTTTCTCTCGTTTTACTTCAATTATTGTTCTTGCTGAGTCAAGGGACCTGGTCCGTTGACTGATAGTAGATGCATATATGCCAACAATTGGTATTAGAGCTTGGTCTATCTATCTGGTTAACACCAAGAGAGAGATTCCCACGAATAATGGCTGCTCCACTAGGCTTGCAAGAAGGTCAGTCTCCAACGAAGCCACGTCTATTTGATGGTCAGTACTATTGGTGGTGGAAAAAGTGCATGTTTGACTATATATTGGTTGAAGATTGTGATATGTGGAATGTTATTTGTGAGGGTCCCTATATGCCAACTATAGAAGTAAAAGATGGGGTTGTCACAAGGGTCGTTCTCAAAACCCGACAGCAATACAACGACTTTGACAAAAGGGAAGTTGAGAAAAATTACAAGGTTAGGAAGATCTTAATGTGTGGAATCGGAGCAAATGAATATAATCTGATTTCATCTTGTGAATCAGCCAAGGAAGTCTGGAATCGCTTGAGAATAGTGTATGAAATATTGAGCAAACAAAAAAATCTAAGTTAGATATATTAACCACTCAGTTTGAAAGCTTCACCTTGGAAGAAGGTGAATCTATTCATGAAATGCGTACTAGATTCTCCACTATTACAAATGAGCTCATGTTCCTAGAAGAGCCAGTCACTGCGTGGAAGCAGGTTACTAAGATACAGGAGATTCTTCCCAAATCTTGGATTGATAAACTTGATATGGTCTATAAGGCAGAGGATCCTGAAGTATTATCGTTGGATGCTCTATTTGAACATCTTCAAGTTCATGAGATGCACAGAAGAATGGACGGTCTCACTCTCAAAGGCAAAAACAAAAGAAGGGACTAGGTTCAGGACAAGTCACTAGCTCTTAAAGTGACATCACGTGAAACCTCTGATAAAGATGAGGACATGGCATACCTCGCTAAGAAATTTCAGAAAATAGTAAGGAAATATGAAGGTCTTCAAAAGGGAGGAAACTCCAGCAGGGCTGTAAATGCAAACGATCTTTGTCACAAACTTGAATATAAAGATTATGTCAAGGCTGGAGGAGAAAAGGACAAGAGAAAGGACATGGTTCCTGATAAGAGTCGAAGAAAACCAGCTGCGTACTATGGTGTGAAGAAGGCCCTTGAAGTCTGTGAAGACACCTCAAGTGACTCAGAGTAGTCTGACCATCCTGAAGATGCTTCCATGCTTGCAGTGAAAGATGATGATGTTAGCTTCGATGAAATGTTTGCCTTTGTGGCAAAATCTGATGGTGAAGAAGCTGAAGAAGAGGTAACCCTTTCTGACCTTAAACAAAATTTGCATGTTTATTCTGCCAAAAGGTTGAGGAATCTAGCCGCTGTTTTAATTGACTTTATCATTTAGTTAACAACTGAAAAGGATCTGATGAACAACATCCTAGATATCCTTCATGAAGAAAAGGTAACCTTGGTTGACCAAATGTCTGTTATGGAAGAATAATTGATAGTTCTGGAAACTGAAAATCTAGAACTAAAGGAAAAGACAAAAGGGGTGACGACTACAACATCTAAAGGAAAGAACGAGGCCAGTAGCTTCCAGCTAGAGCTTGAAAATAAGCTGAACACTACTGAAATGAAGATGAACTTGGCTCTTGAAAGAAATATGGTGTTGGAGAGGGACCTGGTCCGTGTAAAAAAAGAACTAAACAAATCCCTCGAATGGACCACTTCCTCTAAAATGCTTACAAATGTAATCAGTCAGGGTAACTGATGTGAGGACAAAATACATATTTTTAATCATTATTTGCCTCACATTTATTATTTATATTTGTCCTTTTTTAGCAGAAATTTTATGGATTGTGTTGAATAGTATATTTTATTTGTAGGATTAAATTGGTGGAAAAAATGAAGAAGTTTGGACCTAAAATGAATTAAAGATGGAAGGTTGAAGGTTGAAGAAGAAAATCAAGCAGTCAGCTTAATGGATTAAATGAAATAAAATAATATATTCATATATATGGCAAATGGCGGCTGAGCAATCTCAAAACAATTTACTGCCACGTGACCGCCAATGAAGGCCCCTCAAATATTGAGGCGTCACAATTCACGCGGACAGCTTCACAAAAAAAAAAGGAATCCCCAAACACATAGAAAAATTGCTACTGAGGAACAACAGGAGATTCGATCTCATAGAGTTCAATTCCCGTTCCCAACCCATGACCAATATGAGCTCGAAGCTTCCTTCGTAACTCCCGGAACTTCTTCGTAGTGGCTCCCTTACATGCCTCATTTCAGAGGGAACCTCAAAGTGGCTCTATTTCATTATATTCCATCCATATCCCAATTCCATTCATTTAATATCCCTTTGGTGTCATTGACATAACAGATGTCGTTTCTAGTCTATCTCTTTCTATTTCTTTTCTATATTTTCTATATATGGAAAGTTCAAAAATCATCATATAATAATCCAGAAATTGCAATAGAAAAGAAATAAGGGAGGTTTGTGATGATTTTTCAATCTTTTCTACTAGGT